GGCCCCGTCGCAGCATACTGGTTGCGACGGGATCCGGAACCCACCACTGGTCTGCAGGTGAAGGAAGACTAGAACCAGGCCTTAATTCTGCTCCCCTTAATTAAGCATTGTAATAAATAACGTTATGCTGATCAACATTAACACTGTAGAAATCATAAGTGATAGGGTATAAGGTTTCCTGCCTAGGTTTCCTGCCTAGGCAGGGGGTTGGACTAGAAGACCTCCAAGGTCCCTTCCAACTCTGCTATTGTATTGTATTGTTATCAGCTTATTCTTGTTATTTATCATTAAAGGTTTAAATTATCAAAAATCTAAAGCTGTGTTTCTCAGTCTTGGTCCCTTTAAGATGTGTGGACTTCAACTCCCAGAATTCCCCAGCCGGCCGTGGAAAGTGTGCATTCAGAGAGAAATTCATACTGATCACATTCACACGTAAAAGATAAGATTGGCCAGAAACTGCCAGAAATGACCAATTTGGCCTGCAGCATGAATCTATCAGACATAATCATCCCAAGTGTGTGAGGGGGACTAGTTCCCTCCTCTTCCCCCCAACTGGCCCTCCCCTCCCAGCCCTCCTGCCCAAGGCCGAGCCCACCTGGAGGTGCACGTAGTCATAGTCTTCCATCCAGCCGCCCTCGTTGTTCTCGTACTGCCCGTCGGGCGAGTCCTGGGCCAGGAACTTGGGCGGAGAAGGCAGGGGCCGCGACTGGATGTTGCTGGCCTTCTCAGAGGGTGTGCCGTGGGGATGGCCACCCTCCCCCGAGGAAGCCGGGGACCCCCTGGTCCGTCTGAAGAGCAACGAGGCATTGCCATGCAGGAAGGAGGCCAGCTGCTTGGTGTCGTCAGGCACCCCCCGCGAGTACATGACCAGGTGCTCGAGGTCATCCGGCGCCCCCGGCTTGGCAGCAACCAGGGCGCTAGGGGCCCAGCCGCAACCCTCCAAGGCCTGGCTGTGCCGTAGTAGCGCCTGGTAGACCTCCTCCATCTTCTGCACCTGCTTGCTGAGCTTGGAATAAAGGGAGCGGTCGGAGGCCTGGGCGGCGCTGCCCACCACCCCACGAGCAAATTCCAGCAGTTCCCTGAGGGCGCCCTTGATGCTCTCCGCTGCCCCCCGGATGTGTCCCGCGTGGGTCTCCATCCTCTCGGGGCTGCGCCAGCTGCCACTGATGAAAGACATGAGAGACGAGACAGATGTGTTGACGTTGCTCTGGAGCCGGGCCAGCGTCTCCATTGCAACATCCTGGTCGAGGGGTAACTCCTTGTCCGGAGCTTCCCGAACGGGCACCATGTCCAGAGAAGAATTGGAAAGGTTGCTGCGGGTACTGCCCGTGCTGGAGGCCGAAAGCCGCTTGCCGTCAGCCCGATCAGCCTGTGGGGGGACGTCGTAGATGTAGTCAGCTTCTCCGTCCTTTCCACCGAGGGTCAGCTCTCGCGGCACGTCGTACAACTCCTGGCTGGCCAGTTTTCTCAGCCCTGGTGGGACGTCGTAGATCTCCTGAGCTTCTGACACCCCTTTGGTGGCGGGGGGAGGCACGTCGTAGACGTCTTCAGGCAAGGGAGGCTCCGCCAGGGGCGCCAAAGGTGGAGCCAGGATGAGCGGATGACGCGACGGGTCGAAGGGCTTCACCTTGCAGAAGGCGGGGGGCACGTCGTAGGTCTCCTCCCTCAGGGGGCCATCTGGAACATCCTTGCTGACTGACGGAGGGATGTCATATACCTGCAAAGATAAATCAGCCAACTGATCCAACACCGTACAGGTCAGGGATTTCCAACCTTGGCAACTTTAAGACTTGTGGACTTCAATTCCCAGAATTACTCAGCCAGCAAAGCAAAGCTGGCTGAGGAATTCTGGCAGTTGAAGTCCATAAGTCTTAAAAGTTGCCAAGGTTGGAGACCCCTGGACTAGAGTGAATAACAAAATAATAGAGTTGGAAGGGACCTATTCTATTCTGTTCTGTTTTGTTCTGTTCTGCTCTGCTCTATTATTCTACTCTACAGTACTCTACTGTTAGTTGTGTTTTGCACACTGAGTAAGTCCAAATCAACCACTATAGACTAGAGCAGGGGGCTCCATTATGGTTGTATGTCGAGGACTACCTGTACCAGGGTCTCCAACATGGCAACTTTAACACTTGTGGACTTCAATTGGCTGGCAGTTGAAGTCCACAAGTCTTAACATTGCCAAGGTTGGAGACCCCTGGTACAGGTAGTCCTCGACATGCAACCATAATGGAGCCTGCCCAGGATGGCCATAAGACATAGAGGGTTGTAAAATCAGGCATATAATCAACCACAATATTACGACATTTTTTGCAGCAACACAATTGCCAATTGCACAAAGTTTTGTGATATGACGGGCAGAGGCCCAATGGACAGAACTTTCAATGCAGGTCATAAATAGGCGGAAGTAGGTCTTTCATAACTTTGGCTTAAGTGCTAAATGAACCGTCGTAAGTGTATTGTTAAGCGAGGGTGTATTGTCACCCTGCTTATTTTGATCATCTCAACTTGTCCTCATGATAAACAGGGAGAAAATGAAATTTGATAGAAATACTTCCTAGAACCCCCCCTTTCCCCCCCCAAAAAAGACCAGATCCTTGGATTAATTGGGCAGACCTCAATGTAGGACCACAATTGAGCTCAACATTTCCATGGCTAAACAGGCGTTAAGTGAGTTTTGCCCCATTTTACGACTTTTCTTGCCACAGTGGTTAAGATCAGTGTTTCTCAACCTTGTCAACTTGAAGATGTCTGGACTTCAACTCCCAGAATCCCCCAGCCAG